AGGGGGCAACTCCTGTGCCCACAGCCCTGGCGAAAGAAGCATGGACCAAGACCAGTAGCGAGGAAAGTTTAGGGACCGCAAAGTGTGATTCCCAGCAAGCTGTGCAGTTAACGTGGCATCTGCTTCGTCAGGTTGAAGCTTTGTATTTTGATCCGACGGTGGTCGTAGTTAAATGTTGCACATGGGGAGGTGACTTTCTGCGATTCACTTCCGCAAAAAGACATAACACATGTTGGAGCAGGGCGGAACTCTAAAGAACTCCCTGGCGGCCCGGCGCAGATGGGAAGAGTTGTCTTCTCGGCGACGCGATCCACTCCGTGAAGCCCTTTTTTGGTCGCTTGCTTGTGCTGAGTGGTGCGTGACATGTGGTTGAATTTGCTTCAGGGCCTAGAATGAAGAGAATCTAGATACCAGCAGATCATGCACGAGTATGAGCGGGGTCAGGGCCAGGTCGTGGCATCGCCTGTGCTGGCGCGTACGGAACATGTAGCCCCTGGCAGCAGGCCACGCCCGAGCTGAGGTCTTGGTTTGAACAGTGGCTTCGAGGACATCAGTGTTCTCGATGATTGCTGCTTGGACGGCCCATGGTGTATTTGCTTATCTGCTCGTCGTCATCGTAGTATATTGCTAAACATGGGCTACAGACACATGCCGTTGCTGAGTCGACTGTTTGTGGTCCTGCCGACTCTAATTTTCGTACTAATTCTGGAAACTGTGGCCCATGCCACTGAAAGTGGCTTTGCGTATGTGACATGAAACGATGGCGATCATGGTGGCTTGCACCATGCCGGCGACTCGACTGCGAAAGACATTGATGGAAACTGGGCAGATAAGAGTTTCCCTTCTCCCACGGAGCCACCACCTAGCCTGAAAGTGTTGCTTTTTCTGGAGGCCTGGATGAGGCAGGCTGCGATCCACACGAAGCTTTGCAGCTGTACAGCAGGCTTGGGCGCCAAGCTAGGGCAGGGCTTGCTTTTCTTCTCGGTCCGAGACGTTGGCCGTGGTGTACAGGGTTTGAAGGATTTGCGAGGGATTTCCGAGGATTTCGAAGTATTTCCAAGTATTTCCTGTGCAGGGTTCACGGGTGTCTAGGCTTGAGAACTTGTGGTCTTCGAGTTTTGAGATTTTTGGGGTTTGGGTTTGGCATTCAGCTCGGGGGTGCAGCGCCTAAACCCCACGCTTTCCACATCATTGAGATCTTTCTAAATCCCCTTCCAAATACTTCGAAGCCTATGAAACCATCCTAAACACCACCCTTCCAACCCCCACCTTCATCCCATTGAAGCCCTTCGAAATCCTACTGACGCCAGTCATTCAACATTCCACTGAAGCACGCCCTCTCTTCCTCTCGCCCTCTCTCGCTTTTTCATTCCCTCCTTCAGTATCCCTTTGTGTCTCTCTCTCTCCTCTCTCTCTCATTCCCTCCGTCCATCTCTCCCTCTCTCTCCACCTCCCGGGCCCGGCTCCCTGCCCTTCGTGCGCCAGCCACTCGTTCCCCCCTCTCCGAACCCTCGGCATTTTAACTTTAGCCAAGTCCTGCGACGCCTCGCTGAGCACACAAGCCTGGCACAAGTTTTGTGGGGTATAGTGATTTTACCGATCGGCCCGGTCAACGACCCCATTTCGGGGGCCCCAGCTGCCTGCAACTGGTGGCACCCCAGATGTGCCATCAAATTGTGATCCCCTATCCTATACTTCCTCCCAGGGACACCGAGAAGACTAAACCCTTGGGACAACAACCTCTTCAACTCTCACAGCTCAAAGGGAAGTAATGCCGGGAAGCTTGACGTGTCTTGAAGCGCAAGGCTAGTTCCTGCCCTTAAACAGCAGCTCCAGAACCCACCCCGTAGAAAATCTAGCGCGATCTCGGTGAAGGCGCCGTGCTCCGGAGGCGAAGTGCCTGGTGGAGTGCCAGCGTGCCTTGGCCACAAATTTCGACAAATAGCACAGGTCACGAGTCATTGCTTATTCCTAAGTATGTATGTGCTTGGGGCTGCATCTCATTGCCAACAGTGTTGCATGCTTAGCTGCTTATTTTCCACCCTTCTGTCGAAGCAAGTCCAGACAAGTAGTAGGTTGCTAGGCTGGTGCCACGTGGCATTGCAACTGGTTGAACCCTGCTACGCGACCTCGAACATCGAAAGCACAATCACCATGTTCAGGCAAGAGATTGTTGTTGCGACTGCCAAATGACTCAAACGAGTCAGCTTTTCGGTTGTCAAAGCGGCTTTTGCCGACTACACATGTTCATGTCCTCTTCCCTCGTTATTCGGAAAATCATCAGCATCACAGTACTTTGTTCGAGCTGTCTTCGAGTCGTTTACCTGCCGTGCCTCAGTTCCTCATTCTTTCAGTCAAGTTATTGCATTTGCATACTGCCACTGCTCCCAAGTTCTCTCCGGCTTCTAGTGTCTCGACTTCTTAGCGAAGTCGCTTGCAGTGATGGCTTGAGCTCATCTCCCCGAAGGAACTACGCAGCCCAATCCCGCACCTGCTTTCCTGCAGTAAGAGTGGTCGTCGATGTAATTCTTGATTTTCAACATGTCATGATCATGCTTCTAGATTCGCTAAATTCGCTTTGTTCCTTCTCCTGCTGTTACACTGCTCAGAGTTTCGATCCTTGAGAATGACGCTGCAGTTTCGGGTTTAGGGCCCGGGACACCTACGCAAAGCGGCCCGAGTACCAGCCCAATGCGCCCAACATGCCTCGCTCACCCAAGCCGCAAACAGCCAGGTTTCTTGGTTCATGCGAAAACGTGAACTGTCCCTGGTCCAACAGTCAGCTCCAAGGATGCGCCAGGGCTGTACCTTTACTGCCTCTGCCACTGTACCCTTGAGATTTCTACTTGCGCAAGTGGCCAGCATCAACTGATACTTGGCTCCACGATAGCGTTGTCGGCGTATCCGAACTGAACCCCTGCAGAATGTCAAACGCACAATCCATGTTCCCATGTGGGCCTCCGATCACTGTAGCTTTCTGTGTTGAGCATGTTGTTCACACCACCCAGGTCGCTTCGACCAGCCGACCGATCTGCGGTTTGCCCTGGCTTTTGTCCTGCCCTTGGTGCTAGACTCCTGGCTGGCACGCAGCACGGAAGCTGCAGGGAGTACAGATATAGAACGAAGTTTTGAAGCTGCGCATTGAAATTCAACCTCAATCTAGCGTGCCCCAACCACCAGGTCGTCCTGGGGAGGCCTTAAACCCCGGTGCCCAGACTCCTGCAAAAGTGAAAGGGCGCGATCAGTTCGACGGCGAGACAAGCAAAGAGAAAGAGAGGGAGAGAGGGAAGTAGCCCTTGTGCCAGCAAAACAAAGCAACGAGAGAGAGAGAGAGAGACCACTGCAACAACCACCCTCCAAAGGACAACCGCACCAGCAACCACCGGCGAACGGCAACCGGCCGACACAGCAACCTCCAGACACAAGACCCCAAACCAAACCAGCACAACACGTGCGCTTTGCCGAACCTACCAGCCCCATATCAGACACCACCCCGGAAGCCACCAAGCAGGGCACGGCCGCCCGCGCAGACCACCAACAGCGCAGCCGCGAGTCTCCATACGAACGCTGGCAGCGAGAGCACCAGGAACACGACCAACAGCAAGCTGCAGCACAACCACCAACGCACGACCCCCGCCCGCGACCAGACACACCCGTGCCAGACCCAGGCAATACAGGGGCCAAGGATCAGCCCGGGAAGCACCCACTGCTGGACGACAGACCTCTCCGTGGGAACCACCCACCCCACACATCGTCGGCATCCTCCAGCCAGCAACAAGTTGCAGACCCCAAACCAGACCCCTTCGCTGCCGTGCGTGACGGCCGTCGCATTGGTGGGGGGAAGCGGCAGCCACCGACCACGACAACCACCACCACCGACACAAACACCACAACTACAACCACAGCCTACAAGGCAGCCACCACAGAACCCAACAATCACTCCACTGCCACAGAGCACACAGTACTCATGCAACGAAGCATCCAAGGCCTTTTCCACCAACAGACAGCCTCACCACGACCGCCAGCAACCACCAACCAACCTCACGAACTTCCCCAACCTGCGGGGGTCACGGCACTACAGCAACATGTGGTCACAGTGGCCTCCACGCAATCTGACAGCCCCCCTCCCCAACAGAGCCCCTCATCCACAAGACAGACTGGGGGAGAAGGGGGCAACGACCTAGTCGGCAAGGTCGGAGCAAGTCTCACCAAGATCGCACAGCTGGCCCAGAAGCTACCCGGGGGAGGGGTCATCCAAACCCTCGCTGAAGGAGCGCTCACAGACCTCCTCCTGGATAGCCAAACGGAGTCGCAGCTTTTACGTGACCTCGAAATCGAAACGGGGGGACAGACAGGGGGAGAGCAAGCACAGGACAACACCCCCCTGACAAGACCCGCCAAACAAGCACGCACCAGCCACCACAACAACCCTACAGCCGCAGCTTTACAACGCATCATAAGCAGAGCTCAAGCAGGGATGGCCTCTACCAGGGAGCATATATATATATATATCAGCTACTATGACATCCAAGCAGACATTGACGTCATCCTCACATGGTTGAACAACTATGTCAGCAGTATGCGAGACCGGGGGACATCCTCAGCCTCCTCCTCGACCACCAGTATGCAACTGGGGGACCCGGCCACCTTGCAGGCCGTGACGGAGGCCATGCCAGCATTGGCGGGGACCCTCTACGGACTGCAACACGGCGGGGGAAATGAGCATTGGCAAAACTTGGCAGAGATCGCCATGCTCCTACAGACAGTCTTGGAAGGGGGAAGCATCTCCCACCCGGCCGATGTCATTGCCGAGAACCGCGGGGTGCTCACCTCAAACCTCGCGAGGGCACGACGAACAAGCCGAGCGAGGGGGATCATCCTCGAACTGCAGAGCATCGGGGAACATCTCCAAGGATGGCCCCTTTGCGAAGTGAATACAGTACATGCAGCATTGTTGGCTGCCCTGGAAGCGGTGGAAGAGCTGATGCAACCCGCGCCGCAGGGGGGACTCCCCTTGCACAACAACGGGGGAGAGCCCCGCGCGGCGGGGGAATGGTGGCTCTACGACAGACACCATGGACTTGGCAATGCACCTGGCACAGACCGTCGCAGCCCGACCGAAGCCATGGAGAGTGGCAGCGAAGCCAGCCACCGCAGAAGGCGCTTCCACGCGGCGTTCGCGGAGCAGGAGGGGGACGAGTAAAGACAGGCGGAGATGTGAGTTGAACGACGGTGCCTACTACCACAGCTGAGAGAGGGCTTCGGGGGAACCCCCACAACACACTTTCTGGGGGAAAGGGGGGCAGTATCCTTGAACCTTAGAGGCCTCGTTCTTCGCTGTTGTTTCCACCAAGGATCCCCTATTTCCCCAACACGAGCTCCCCCGCCGGTAGCCATAAACATGTTTAGCTCCGCTTTGAGTGTGTTACATAGCTGTCCTCTGCTACATACTTCGCTTGCTGTGTCGATACTATACAACGGCTAGGGGGAAGCAACAGCAATCACTAACAAGCTGTACCAACCTTTCTGTGTGACCGACCTCGAAGTAAACGGGGAAATGCCTACCTCTGGCCGCTGGAACCCTTTAGTATGGCTGATAGATACTTGGAGAAAGACCCGAAAGACCCTGCCTTACTTTGAGTGGTGTCCTGCTCCGAACTTTTGGGCAACTCTGCCTTTGTGAAGTCCTCAACACGGGGAAGGAGCTCGTTCCGCGGGAAGTTTAGGTTGGTTGTTTCCTTGATTGTTGCAGGTTCAGGGGGATGGCATGACGGACGATGCCTTCGTAGCCCTATGTTGAGTCGACAGGGGGATGCGAACTGAGTCCTCCTTTATTTGCTGTACGTATGGTAGCCCTCTAGGGCGGTCATGTAGCGCTGTGTCATTGTTTTAAACATACGAAAGGAGAACTCAGTGCCACTGATTCCCTGGGATCAGCCCCCGATACGACATGCTGTGCGACAACTGGAGGCAAGGGAGAAGCTTCGTGCACTCCATCCTTGTGACATACTCAACAAGCAAGGGGGATAGCTTGGCCTCAGGGTTTTGTTTCATTGGGCTCAGGTTCTTCTAGGATGGCGTAGGGAACTAGGAGATTGATGACGGCCATTTTGCCCCGCGTTGAGCTGAAACAGGGGAAATGACCCGCTGAAATCTCCTCTCTCCGTTTTCCTTACGTATGGTAGCTCTATAGGGCTGGCATGTATTGCTGTGTCATTGTTTTTCCACAAGCGAGAGGAGGATTCGGGGCCATTGATTCCCTTGAGTTAGCTCCCGACATGAAGGCGTGAGATGTTCTAGACCTCGGTGTCCTGTTGGGTAGGGGTTAGTTCGGATGTTGTTTTACGCACACTTCTTTGAGGCCGGGGGAGAACATTCAATAAAGTCAGTCCTTCGTGCTAACTGGAGGATACCTGTGAGCACAATCATAGTCTGCAAGCAAAGGGGGAAGCCCTTCGACCCGTGCCATTCGTTTTCCAGGCCATTTATTACCTTTTCTGATCTTCTTAAAAGTGGTAGGGGGAATGAAGTGTAACCTCGTGCATGTGTCCTGCGAGAGTGCATAGTCATCAACGTCTTACAAACCTTTTAGGCCTTAGCCATCATGATGACTTGCACTCGTTCTTCACTCCCCGTATACCCAATAAATATTATTGGGTGGGCCATTCTGGCCCGGGGACGCTGACCCGTCCC